ATTGATTGATTGGTCACTATTTTAGTGGGATTGTACTAACGTCGATCTTTCGGGGAGTTACTATAGGTGTATTTCTATATACACCTGTGTAATTATACATAAAACAGAAACAAATATTATATATATACGTATATATATATATATGTATGTATGCCTATCCACAGACACACAGACACATAGACCTGGAATGTATGACCCAGCCGGTGGGTTGCTTCAGAAAACCAACCATCCCTCACTGGATTTTTTCCTGCGCTGGGGAGTCCAACAGATGTCTTCAACTGCCATCACATCCACCACCTCCTTCTTCCTTAGGAATGGTGACGAGTTGGGATGTCGCATTGAAGCAGCTAGACCAAAAAGCTTGGGATGAAAGATTCCCCCGGCAAGCATGTTGGTGTTGGTTCAATTAATCACTTACTTGCCATTTATTCTGAAGTTGAAGGTCACCAAAGGGTTTGACCTGACGGCCAAAAGATTGTGCAACGATTTATGTTGAGCTTTACTTGGTTAAACTTAGATTCTACCAAACTGTTGGTTGCTTGCTCGTTGCATCGTGGTTGCGTGCCCAGCCTGAACTCCACAAGAATGCCACAGATTCCCCTGTTTTTTGATGACCAATGCACATCATCTCACACATGGTTCACACATCGTTGGTCAGATTGGATGTCTCAATCAAAATGTTTAACAAGATATGTGTTAGAGATATGTCTGTGGATATATATATATATACATATGTGCAGGACTTGCTTAGCAATGTGTATATATGTATATTGTAGTTTTGTTGATTAGTTTTGTTTACTTATGTATTTGGGTTAAAAACAAGTGACACATGTATGTTGATATGTATGTAAAATATGTAAATATGTGTATGTACATATGTACATATGATATGTCATGTATATATACATATATACATGTATATATATATATATACATATGCATATATACATATATACATATATACATATATACACATATACACATATACACATATACACATATACATAAATACATATATACATATATACATATATATACATATACATATACACATAATACATATTTACATAAATACATATCCATATACATATTAACATATATATATATATACATATCCATACATACATATATATCATATATACATATATATATATCATATATATATAATTTTATATACGTACAGTATACACCCATCCCCATAAGATGGCACCGCGCGGTGAGGAAGAGAATGCGCTATTTTGGCTGGAACATAAAAAGAGTTGCGCCATCTATGTGGCTAGTGTCAAAGATCTAATTGAGGAAAAAATCGCCCCAAAATAGCGCATATTGGATGACCAACTTACTTTAAATGGAGTTGCGCCATCTATCCCCTGCATTTTGCCTTTGACATATATAGATGGCGCAAGTCAAGAAATTGAGCCATCTACTTTGGGGGAGGAGTATATGTATACATGGTACAAATACACACATACTGATCTTGTACCGCCCGCAGACATCTCGGTGGCCGGCTCCTCTTTCTGCTCTTCGGTTTCATAGGCCTGGCCAGGCCGAAATCGCCGGTCACAGTTATGCTCCTACAAGTATGTGCTGTGGGCCGAAGTTGTGGCACATACATCACCACAGAAAAAGGTCCTGAGGAGGGCCAATACCTCCTGAAAATCATGTGAAAACTCCGAATCCCGAAGGAGTTCATCATCATATTGGGAACATTTGGGAACTACATCTCACCATGGCTCTCCACTGGGGCCTGTTTGGCGGCAAACTCTCCCTGCTTGCCTGGCCGAATTCGATGATGTGCCAAGAAACAAATCCCGCACTAAATGGAGGTTTCAATGGGAAGATCATCTATAAATGGTAGATGTTCATGGATTTTCCATAGCCAAGTAAATTGTCAGAGGCTAGTTCAACATAAACTGTCCTACAAAGCATTCTTCTTCACTGAAAGAAAGCATACTGGTGGCGGTCAAGATTCTCTTCCTTGCACGTACTCATGGAACCATCAGCTGATTTATTCATCTTCCCCATACTGGATACCACATGATACCACTCATGGGTTGGTTACTATCCCCATGATTATATTGGTCAATCTCAGGATGTTTGCGCGCACGCTCTCATTCTTGCTGGCGAAGCCACCGCCACCACCAGGACCACCACCACCACCACTTGTGTAACAACTCAATTCATCCTATTTCTCGGAACAGCCGCTCATGGGGGGGCTTAAAACCGATGTTTTTGTGCATCTCGTGACAAGATCTTGATGGAAAAAATTGTTCTACTAGGGTTTCAGACCCCCTAAGCACATGTTGAAAAATAGTATTTACAGTGGTTTATGATCATTTTGAATGAACATTTACTCCCCCATGGGGTGCCGCTCTCTTTCTGTAGAACTGGTTTTCAACCACATTTCTGCTGGTTCACCCCCATTTTGTTCGGGATGTTCCCATTCAAGCAAGATGAAAATAATCTTAGATTTTTGGAAAAGTCATGGTTTCCTGACAAGTTTCCTTTCATCCAACAAATATACCTTTATGCCTCAGTCCCATTAAATACCCATGTATCTCCCTCCCCAAATATTCAATACCCTCCAAATAAGACCCTGTTCCTGGTACCCTTTTGAGTTCCCTTGGGGGCGGTGTTCAATATCGGAGGAGTCTTCTATCTGGTATAATATGGTTTTAACATGTTTTAAACAACGACTGTAGATGAACCTAATCCATGTTGGTTAAATTTCAAGGCTCTAAACCCTCCAATTTCGCCCCGGAACCCTCCAAAGCATGCCAGGCATTCTATGCCAATCGGCCAAGACCTTCTGCCACTCTGCGGCCTTGGAATGGAACCTCACCGAGCAACTGGCGGCCGAAAAGAGGTATCAATGGCCCCGTTTCCATAAATGGGGGATCCCCAAAAATGGATGGTTCACAATGGAAAATCCTATGGATTATTGAGGATGATTGTACCGAGTTGGATGGGAAATAATACACTCACCATCATCTTCCGAGCGAGGGAGAATGCCCCAGAAAACTTCAGCTGTTCGATTGTTGCAACAAGAACAACAACAACAACAACCACAACAACAACAACCACAACCACAACCACAACCACAACAACAACAACCACAACCACAACAACAACAACCACAACAACAACAACCACGACGACGACGACGACGACGACGACCACCACCACCACCACAACAACAACAACAACAACAACCACAACCACAACCACAACAACAAAAACAACAACAACCACAACAACAACAACAATAACAACAACAACAACAACCACAACAACCACAACAACCACAACAACCACAACAACCACAACAACCACAACAACCACAACAACCACAACAACCACAACAACCACAACCACAACAACCACGACAACAACCACAACAACAACCACAACCACAACCGCAACCACAACCGCAACAGCCACAACCGCAACAACCACAACAACCACAACAACCACAACCACAACAACCACAACCACAACAACCACAACAACCACAACAACCACAACAACCACATTCACAACAACCACAACCACAACAACCACCATCCCCACCACCACCGCCACCCCCATTGCCACCGCCATTGCCAGCCACTGCCACCGCCACCGCCACCGCCACCACGGCCACCACGGCCACCACCACCAACAACAACAACACCACTACCACCAGCAACAACGACGACGACGACGACGACAATGGGATGCACATTTGTGGAAGGCATTTGTGTTGTTTGAGATGTGTTCTGCTACAGTCTGGAGTCTAGTTCCTTAAAAGCACCACTTTATTGCGCTGAAGGCACCCTTTTGCTTGGCTAAAGGTTTCCTTTTATTCTGCTAAAGGAGCCCCAATACTGATAGGGTGGCACCACATTGAGATCTCGGCCAATCCGAAGGGAGGATATCTTCCATACGGCACAGGATCTGGAAAGAAGCGTCACCAGGGGAATGGCACTTTTGCTCATGGCTTCACAAGGGATTTGTTCAATAGATCTACAGTGTTTCTATAGATAGTCTTGAGTCAAAGGCTATCTTTGGCTATGACTTCACATTGGGGTCATTTACTTGGATACAAGAACTGGGTGCAGAACCGAAAGCAGAATGTAACAAGTGATGGATCTTGCAGACTGGCCGCATAAGTCGAGGTAAAGAAACCATGATCTTTCTTTGTTGCATTCATGTAGAACCTCACCGAATTCCCCAGGCGCTGTACCAGAATGTGCGCAAGCTTGCACAAGAATAGAAACATATCTGCAGCTGTGTCGGAATGGCTATGAGTCATCTTTCTTTCCTGAGAATGGGAAGATTGTCTTGCCACAAACACAAAAGTTATGAATCCGGCCGCGCTCAAGAGCCACGAGCCAGGACATGCCAGGACCGTTCGTCGGGTCGGCGTCAGATTTTGAATCATAACACTTTACAAGCCCCATGAACTAGTTCGATATAACCACCATAAACCTTCATAAACCACGGAGATTCACCGCGCGCTGGCACCAAAAATTGGGCCCGTCCCAATGTGTGCCTTGTTCTTCAGGATCCACTTGTGCAAGTGCTCCTGTGGATTTTGGAATTGAGGACCACTAAACTCCAGTCATCAGCTCCATGGCTGGGAAATACCTGAACTAAATGAGCATCTACATGGGAAAATCAACCAACATGACGAACTTTCTATTGCTACGTGTGATTTCTTGGGATTCTCCACCATGAAAATCACGGGGATCCACGACATGATGCCGCAAGCCCAGAGGCCCGTCTTGGAGTGACAGAATGATACAGAATGGCTGAAGCAACCACCAAAATCAGTGGATTTCACAAAAATCTCACCAGTGGCTCGAAAAATTGTGTCGACGCACCAAGATTCTTTGAAAAATGAATTCCAAGAGCCCAGAAATCTTCGACCCTCCCCAAGTGATGGCTGCGATTTCATCCTTGCACTGCTCTGCAGGACTCCAACCATAGCGGATCTCGTCAAATCCCTGCGCCGTGCCGCATATCTTTCCAGATCTTCAAAGACTGAATAAATCTGAATAGGTATTACCTAGGCGTAAATTACTGAATAAGTTCAAAAATTACCCAAATATGTTATCATTATCTCTGTATATATGTAATGAATTAACAAAAGGAAAATTGTGTCATATTATCTTCTGATATGAAATGCGTAGCATGTGGCAGGAAGATGACCCAGTTTACTCGTTGAACCCTTGCCTTTTAACCCATCTCCAAATGTGTTTTCGCCGCCTCATCAGCATCTGGAAGACAGAAACGCGCAAAGTTACCTGTGGTCCCAGCAACCACCGATGAAACTGCAGGTAGTGCCATACCAACTGCTGGGGAGATTGACCAGCAATCAAACCCCAGAAAAAGGTCGCCAACGTAAAAAAAATTGTAACGTCGAGTATCATTGTATAACTACTGAAATTGGGATCTTATATACCTAACAAAATGGGATGTGCTAGTACTTTTGCCATTGATATTTTTCCTTCGAGGTATTCCAAGGGAACCTGTCACTCGAAACGCAACAAAAAAAATAATTGCAACTAGCATGCAATGGAAAAACTCATGGTAGTTCCTTGGCTTAGCTCTCTCCTGATCACTGGAAAATCAACCACCCAGTTCTTTGCTTCGGTCAATGGCCCAAGTATGTCCAAGTTTTGCAAAGAACAGCCTCCTGTAGTCATAAAAATCACAACCACACAATCCAATTTCAATCCGCAATCCCAATTTCATAGCCCAAAATGGGTGTGTCAATGGTGTAGACCCATCCATTTAAGCCATTGCAATGGGAAATACGATGGTGAACTGATGAACCAGCAAATTTGGTGCTACCTATTTGGGGGTGTCCCAAATGGGGGGCTACCCCAAATCATCCAAATGATGGATGACCATGACTTAGTATTGAAATCTATGTGACTTGGGGCTCCCCCATGACTTCAGAAACCCCCAAAATCCCCAAACTGGGTCCGTGCACCACCTAGGGTCCAGCTGGTAAGATCGCTGGTGGCCTGCAAGGGTCACAGAACGGTTCGGATAGGGAAAAAATTATATGTATCTGTATATTTTATACATACACATAACTTCCCAAAAAGAATTAGAAAGGCGAAACCCAGTGAAATAGTGATAAACTATGATAAATCCGCCGACGCCTGCTAGCATTTGGCGGCGCCTGAGATCACCGCAGGTGTGCAACCAACGTTCTGCCTGCCCAGCCTTGTCAGACCTTGGAAGCTGCTGTTCGGCAATCCGGCTCATCCATCTCGTAAGGGTTTCAAAACTTCCGTTGCCACTTTTGTTCTATACAGGGCCACCTGCCCAGCCTTATACGGCCTTGGAAGCTGCTGTTCGGCACTCTGCCCGGCTCATCCATCTTCAAAACCACTTCTGGTTATTCTACCAGCCTTGTAACACCTTGGGAGCTCCTGTTCGGTGCCCAGGCCGCGGTCGGCTGGCAGTGCCTGCGTTGCCCGGCTCACCTACGTTTCAAGGGCGTACAGAGGCCAACCTGCCCAGCCTTGTAAGGCCTTGGAAGCTGCTGCCACGCCCGGCCCATCTATCATTTAAAGGTTTCAGAACTGCCGTTTGCTGGGTTCTAGAGGGGCAGTTGCCCAGCCCTGTAAGGCCTTGGAAGCAAACCTACTGTTGGGCACGCCGCCCAGGCCACTAGGCTCGCAGTGCCGGAAAAATGCCCTTTGCCACTCGTGCCCAGTTGCCCAGTTGGAAGCTGCTGTTCGGCGCTGCCGAGGCCACAGGAGGCTGGCAAGGCCCGCATCATCCATCTTTTGAATGTTTCGAGGCGATGCTGCCGTTTGGCACTTTTGGTTCTACAGCGGTCAATGCGCCCAGCTTTGGAACGCCTTGGAAGAGCGTCGTTGGGTTATTTCATGGTTGTCATTGAAGTTGTCATTCCACAAAGCAGCCCTGGCAGCAACAGCAGTTATGCACATGGCCTCTGAAAGGAGATGTTGCTGGATTCTTGACATCGAGACTTCTGATTCAAAAAACAAACGTTACAAAACTCAACCAGCATCTACGATCATCTACATGCATTCTTTATATATATATATACAATTATATTTTTATACATATACACATATATAGAAATACATAAACTGGTGGTTTAAAAGGGGAGTCGGCGGCACCAGGGCGTTAGCCTGTTACTGTTCTATCATTTTGGGGGGTTGCTATAAGTGTATACCTGGAACCCAAAACAACCAGCTGCTTTGTAGGGATTCTTCCCAACCTTCGGCGATGGTTTTGTCAGAAAATGGCGGATATCCGAAAAAGTGGAATCACCACCATCAGGTGAATCGCCATCTCGGTGGTGATCGCTGAATTGTTTCAGAACTGATGGCAAAGCACGATCTGTAAACAAGGGGTAAATGGCTAATAGATCCATGATATATCTACTAAGTGGTAAATCTATCAACCTACCACATATTAAAACAATCTAATGTAAATGATCTAATCTAGTTACTAAGTGGTAAATCACGATCAGTAAATATGTTCGCCCCAACCCGGACGTTGCTCCACACTTACAATAGTCATGATCAACATCATCATCATCATCATCATCATCATCATCATCATCACGTCATGGTGATCATAACATTAAAATTCGCCACCCCCTCTGAACAATATGTTGACTGGGGTTTAAAAAAAAACAACTTTATCTTCATGAGGGGTCAAAATTTGCCACCCCCTCTGAACAATATGCTGATTGGGGTAACATCAACTATACCTCCATGAGGGATCAAAATTTGCCCCCCCCCCTATTGTTGATTGGGGTAATAACATCAACTTCTCTTCATGAGGGATCAAAATCCGCCACCCTCTATGAAAAATATGTTGATTGGGGTAATAACATCAACTTTATCTTCGTAAGGGATCAAAATTCGCCACCCCCTATGAACAATATGTTGATTGGAGTAATAACATCACTTTTTTCGTCAGACGCAGCGCAACGTCAGGGTTGCAGCGAATATGTTTCATGGGGTGCATCATCCCACTAGCCCAGCTTATGTTTCTAGCTGTCCCACGGTCATCTCAACTGTGTCCTGGGTCCACTTCACTGGCTCCATGTTTGACCTTATGGGATTTGACTCTAAGAGGCCATTTTTCCAGAGAATTCCCCGAGATGGGTCATCATCATATCGGCAAAATCATCATTTTATGGGGATAATCATCATTTTTGTTTCATAATCCATCATTTTATGGGATAATCCTAATAATTTATGGGATAGTCAGAAAGGTCACTCAAATATTGCTGGTGACACCCCCATGGAAAAATGTCACATACTCCTACTTTGCTCCTTAGCTCACCACCGGATGTACATTTGCCACTGGAAAATGATTCCAAAGCATTGTATAAGCCATTTGCATATTAGACCATATGGATTCATATGGAACATCCACAGTTTTTCATGGGCTATGGGTTACAAACCACTCGCTTACTGGTACCAAACTCAGGCCCCAACTCTTCACACCTTGCAGAACCACCACGCCTTCTGCTTGAAGCACACGGCTTTCTCTTCATCCGTCAACGTCACAACTGGCCTAGAGGAGGAGTTGTTCATGACCTTTTCGAGGCGGTGTTCAACTTTTATGGGAGAAGTATATGGAGGTGTACATATATATATATATGTTACACATATTAAATATACTCTATATATATATATGTATTAAATATGTTATAATCATATTTTATACAGTATATCATACTTGCTTATATATATCATACAAAACATTATAATAAAACGGAATATCATATATAATATGGATACATATGATATAGAGGTACAATGTCTGGGAGTAGAATACATGTTCTCCATAATATATCCATATAGAATGTAAACTATCCTTGGAGGTGCATATGGAGATGTTATGTATCAAAATGTATCCACTATGCATCAGTGTATAGTATATACTGTACTTGTGGGAGTATAACAACTGGCGGAATATATGGGAGTATGATATAGATACTGGTATAACATGGTATAACTATGGGGTATATATGACTATTGAGGCTTGGTGTAGTGAACAAAAAATTGATATGTATATGAATATGCTGTTTGGGCGTAGTAACTGACATTTGTGGGATACACTACACCAAATGTTGGCCCTTTTCATAGGGAAAATACCAAAGCTATGTTCAAATTATACATTTCCATCCCACTTGTCGGATGGACAAAATGTTTGAAATTGAAACCTAGGTCTTAGGTCTTAGGTGCTGAGGAACCGGAAGCTCCCGGTTTTGCCACGCCACAAGCCCCAGGCCGAGAAACTCACAACGCTTTAGCCCCACACACGCAACAAACCAATGCATTATTTGAAAGGGATGGGTTCCTACTGGCGCTATCTTGGGGTTGCAATCCCGCCCAACTCCTAGGCAAACCCAAGCAACGTATGGGTAGTCGTAGACCCCTTTTCAAATATCAGGGAAGGAGAGCTGGTCATTAGCTTATGGCCGTGCTTACGCGTCACTTCCAAGCTGCTTGGATGTGCATCCAAATTGGCACATGGCTAACCATGCCTAACCCTCTTTGGGAATTACCTAAAGTAGGCTTTCCTGCCAAAACTGGGCTTGACTTTCCGGCCTTGGCTCCTCAACTTCCTCCACCTGCATACAAAGTTTAAGACCGCTTGGGCATTCGGCTTTTGCAGATGTTACATGTCTGTAAAACTAAAGATGCGAAAAAAGGCGTGTGGAAACCCAACTAAGTGGAATCGGGTAGCATGCTGCTGATCTCAATGGATCCCGCATCAGCAAGATGATCGACCTTTTCCCACCTGGGGCCCAACTAGTTGGCATGAGTGCTGGTGAAAAAGACACAAAATATAAACTAAAAAAACAGCCAGGATCAACTGGGCCCACTGTGAATCTTCAAATCATCAAATGTTCGAGTCCGACTGAGTGGCCGGTGGGTGTGGTGCCAGAAGCCAATTGTTTCTTGGCAGTGGGGGGCTACCCTGTCCTGTGACGGAACGATTTTCA